GAATGAAACTTAAACATAGTTAACTACTGAGAGCTGGGACTGTCTTTTTTTTTTTTTTTAACCTTTCTTTGTATCCTCAGTACTTAGTGCAGTACCTGGCACATAACAGGTGCTTAACAAATGCTTATTACATAACTGAGTATAAACACATAATTTAAATGCAATAGAGATATGCTAAATAAAGGGCTATATGAGATTAAAGGAGGAAAAGTCATTACTCACTGCGGGAATGGAAGAAAGAAGTAGCATTTGAGAAAGACTTTAAAAAATGAGGAGAGAGGGCATTCCAGGCCTAGGAAAGACCATGAGGAAATGAACAGGGTTGGGAGATTGTAATATATGTTCAAAGGGCAGAGCTATCCAGTTTGGCTGGAGTATAGGACAGGTAGAAATAAGAAAGAAAGCTGAAGGGGTAGATTGGTGTTTGCTTTGGGGGGGCTTTGAATGCTAGACAGAGGAATCTGAATTTTATTTGGTAGGCAATAAGGAACCTAGGAGGGAGCAACTAAGTAGCACAGTAGATAAAGTACCAGGCCTGCAGTCAGGAAGACTCATCTTCCTGAGTTAAAATCTGGCCTCAGATACTTACTAGCCATGTGACCCTGGGCAAGTCATTTAACCTCTGTCTGCCTCAGTTTCCCCAATTGTAAAATAGGGATAATAAGAACACCTACTTCATCAGGTTGTTGTGAGGATAAAATGAGATGATATTTGTGAGAAGTGCCTGGCACACAGTAGCACTGTATAAATGTTTATTCCTTCCCCTTTGTGCAGGCTGCCTCTTATAATCGAAATGCCACCTCTGTCTCTTAGAATCTCTAGCTTTCTTAGAAGCATACCTCTGATATAAGACTTTTCCTGATGGCTCTAGCTGCTGGTCCCTTCCCTGGAAATTACTTTGTATTCACTACATATACATGTGCATATATATATATATATATATATATATATATATGTATATATATATGTATATATATATGTATATGTGTGTACATACATATGTTATATCTTTATTTATACTTATACACGCAGTTATTTCGCCAATAGAATGAAAACTCCTAAAGAGGGAAGTGACAGTTTCATCTTTGTCTTTGTATTTACAGCACCTAGCACAATACCTGGCAGATAGAAGATACTTAACAGATACTTGTTTGATTGGCAGTGGTCTAGAGGACAGAGGCAGATTTGAAATGAGATTGTAGAGATTGATAAACTTATAAAATTCCTGAGAGGTAGAAGAGTCAAGATGGTGAAGTGAGAGGAAGCATTTTTGCCCAGCTTACCCAACACACTTCTTCTACAGCAGTCTAAAAATCATGCCATACCAAATTCTCATTGGGAAAGCCAAGAAAAAGTCACAATGAGTCATTTTTCCAGTCCCATAGCATCTTAGAAAAACAGAGAGGTCTTTAAACACTGGGGTGGTACTGGTCAGGAGAGCAGCACAGCAGCAGCAATAGCAGAGATAGCAGAGACAGTGTTGGGGGAACATTCTAGCACTCAGGGATAGTAAGTAAAGTAAGACTGAACATCAAGGCTGGAAGCAATGGGGCCCCAAGGGACTCCTGAAACAGCACTGAGAACAGGAAAGTGTACCAGTTGGCAACTCAGTCATCCATTACTCAGTGTGGAGAGGAGCAGTCATGTCCCAGAGGTCCTAGCTGTATATACAGCAAGGAATAAGTTCCAAAAACTTAGGTGTGTGGCTCTGAGCTCAAGAGTAGAGGAGCAGACTCATTTCTAATCTTTAGCCCCACACATAAAGCCTGCCGTAGAATAACCAGGTCAGAAAAACCAACACTAAAGGAGAGTCAAGCAGTTCAGTCACTTTGAAGCTATAGAACCTCCCAGCAGGCTAAGAGTAAATGAGTCCAATAGCAGTCTACTGATACTCAACCACACACAACCCAACAGATCCAAATCTGGATCAGGAAATTTCAGAGTTCATACTAAGCAGTGAACAAACCTCTCCCAAGATGACACTACAGTGGAAACACTGAAAACTTTCAGGCCCCCAAACTGAGTTATGAAAACTCGGGCTAGACATCATCACCTCCCCAGAGGTAAATAGAGCCCAACTCTAACATAAAGTCCAAAGTCAAGAAGTAGGCTAGAAGAACCCTACCATAAAGAGCTACTATGGTGATGGAGAAGTTGAAGACACAAACAGAAGACAACTTGAAAACATCTACAAGCAAAGCCTCAAGAGAAAAATGCCTCAGATCCCTCACCTGTAAAATGAGCTGGCGAAGGAAGCTTCTCCAGTATTTGCCAAGAAAACCCCAAATGGAGTCACAAAGAGTTGGACATGACTAAAATGACTTCACAACAACACAGGTGAGGAAACCGAGGCCATGAGATATTGAGTGATTGCCCGAGATCACACAGCTAACAAGTGTCTGAAGTCAGATGAACACTATCCACTAAGCCCACCTAGCTGCCTAAAGGGGAATAAGAAAGTTGGAGGGGGGCTAGGTTATGAAGGACTTTGAATGCCAAACAGAACATTTGGTATTTGCTCTTGGAGGCAATAGGAAGCCACTGGAGTTTATTGAATGATGGGTTGGGTGGGGTGGGGTGGGGTGGTGGTGCCATGATCAGACCTTTATTTTAGGAAAATCACTTTAGTGGCTGAATAGAGATTGGATTGAAGTGGAAAGAGAGTTGAGGCAGGCAGTAAAATTAAAGAGCTAGTGAATACTGAAGTTTGAGGTTCTAGTGTACCCAAATGGCACAAAGTCATGGATTATGGAAGCAAAATCTTAGAATCTTAAATTTATAGATAATTGAAATTAAGTAATGCATACTCTTTAGCCAAAATTTATTAGGGTGTTATATTTTTAAAAGCTGCTAGTTTCTTAGCAAACCAAAAGAGCCTCTGTGCAAATAATGGGAGGCGTAGCAAGATAGCAGACAATAATACTCTTTTTCAGATGACTAGACAAAATGAAGTCTGTTCTCATAAAGCTATTGTTGTCTGAATAGTCATGATTTGTAATATCTTTATCTTATCATAGAAGTCTCTTTATCTTATTATAGAAGTCTTTGAAACATTACTGTTATAATATAACATCACAAATTGCATTTTTGACTTGTTTTCTTTCTTTTTGAGAAACATTCTGTTCTTGATCTGTAACATTAATGCAAACTCTTTATGGTGAGGTAATTTCTAGAATTTTCTGGAAGTATTTCCATAAGAGTACACAAGAACTATGTTCAAAGGGCTATAAAACTGTGCATACATTTTGACCCAGCAATACCACTACAGGTCTGTATCCCAAAGGGGTCAAAGAAAAAGGAAAATGTTCCATATATACAAAAATATTTATAGCAGCTCTTTTTGTGGTTGCAAAGAATTAGAAATTGAGGGGATGTTTATCAATTGGGGAATGGCTGAACAAGTTGTAGCATATGATTGTGATAGAATACTATTGTGCTATAAGAAATGATGAGTAGGGTGGTTTCAGAAAAACGTGGTGAGACCTATATGAACTGATGCAAAGTGGAGTGAGAAGAAATGGGAGATCATTGTATACAGTAACAGCAATGTTTGTAATGACAGTCAACTGTGAAAGGCTTGGCTATTCTGATCAAGATAGTGATCCAAGACAATTCCAAAGGACTCATGATGAAAAAAAATGCTCTCCACCTCCAGAAAGAGAACTGATAAACGCTGAGTGCAAACTGAAGTATTATTTTCTCTTCATTTTTCTTTCTAATTTTGAAATGTCTAGTATGGGAATATGTTTTGGATGATTTCACAAGTATAATTGATATCATATTGCTGCCTTCTCAGTGGGTGTGGGAGGGAGGGAGAGAATTTGGAACTCAAAATTTAAAAAGAAAAGACTGATAGAAGGGAGAACAAACAGATTGGGTGAAGGGGGAATCAGAATGCAGGCCATCATGGGGTGGGGAAGGGGAAGGGGAAGGATGGGGAGAAAATTTGGAACTCAAAATCTTGTGGAAGTGAATGTTGGAAACTAAAAATAAATAAATTGGGGGGGAAGAATATTTAAATAAATTAATTAAATAAAATTTTTTTTAAAAAAGTAATCAAGACTTAGACCTCTTGTTGAAGTAGGACACTTGATTAGAGATCCCTTTATCAGTCAAAAGCCCTCCAAATAGCTGTTTGATATAATAAATAGATATGTGTGTATATATATATATATATAGTATAATTTTTTATTAATCAGTACTGAACACAATACTGACTCACTTTATTTGATATGACACTGCAGTTGAATGGTTTACCTTGCACATTTTCAAATCCTCTGAGCCTCCCACTTACAGAATCATAGAATGTTAGTTATAGAGGTATCTTAAGAAACATCTAATTCAGTCTCTTCATTTTATTGATGAGGAAACTGAGTTCCAGAAGGGTGATTTGCCTGATACCACAATTAGTTGATATCAGAGCTGAAACCTGAATCCAAGTTCCTACATTCTGTTCCATTTACCACAATTTATTTAACCATTTTCCCATTGTTGGATATTTAGATTACTTAGGTTTTTTTCCAGTTACAAACAGTATTGCTACAAATATCTTTGCACAAATAATCTTTTAAAAATAACACTTTCAGAGTATATTCTGTAAGAAAATGGTTTAATATGTTGTTTGGGAAAATTATTATACTATTTAAATCCAACATTATGTGATTAAAGGTTGTCTATAACCAGAATCTCATCACACAGTAACTCTCTAGGAATGCTGCAGATGGTTACAAGGTATTTCGGATTTTCCCAGGTCCTGGATCTACCCAAATCATTCTTGTTTTGGGTTATCACATACAGTTCTTGTGATGAGTCCACCTAAGCTTGTGTTTGGGGTTTTCTCTGTGTTTTGGCTTGTGTGGTTCTGGTATTTCCTACGCTGCGCACTCTTGCCTAAATACTATATGATGTAAACCTTTCTAGAGCCTGGACAAGAAGGAGCCTTACTAGATCATTTTCCTCTACCAAATGACCTAATAAATTTCTTTCTAAAATTATTTCAGATTTTGGGGTCTATTCTCATGAACAATAAAATGGTGGTAGTGGTGGAATTCTCTGGTGGTCACCTGAATAAACTAAACCCAAAGGCTCTCCCAGACCATGCAAGCTGAGTCTCTGTGATTCTCTGTGATTGAGCATGGGCAGGACTGACCAATATAGGATCACATAGAACAGAACAAGAACCTGGTAAGTCCCCTGGGTTCAGGTTGTTCACAGTCCGGGCCCCAACTCTTAGTGTCCAGAAAATTAAGAGATTATACTTGGCCTTAGCCGATGGAAAGACTCAGGTGGAGTTAGAATTTGCCCAGGCCTCCCTAATGAGCAATGACCCTTTGATCACGCAAGAGTTTGGTAAGTAGCTGCTAAAATCTAAAAATTTAGTTAAAATTAGGCTGGAGGTCATTTGACAGAACTTTTCCTTTCTCTTTCACTCTCTCTCTCTCTCTCTTTCACTCTCTCTCTCTCTCTCTCTCCTCTCTCTCTCTCTCTCTCTCTCTCTCTTTCTCTTTTTCTTTTCTTCCCGCCTTTCTCCTCAACTTTCCCTAGATACTTGGTCAGTGACTGGCTAGTAACCACTTACATATTCTTGTGAACATGGGTATTAGTTATACACTCATTCACTTAGGATAGCCCTAGGTTAGTGAGGGAAACTTGAATTTGGAGGTGGGTTTTGACTGGGGCTTCTACTTCAGAAGTTCTCTGGAACATTCAAGGTCTTGTTTACCAGGGAGAACTTTGAAGGGGAACCACCTCTTCACCCATAAAAAACTGCTCTTAAGACTGCACAGAAAAGGAGTTTAAAAGGGTGGGGAAAACTAACGAAGTCTTAAAATAGCTCTCCCAGCTATCTGTAATATTGATCAGGAACTAATGTTGATATTTTGTTTAGACTTTCAGTGGGAGATATGGAGGAAAATTGGGAGATTTTTTTCTCTCTCTGCCTTCATAACCCTGTCCAGGTTGGAAATTGCAGAGATAAAGACAGACAAGAAAAGGAAGGAAATATTTTTTCCTGGTTTGTGGAAATGTATGGCATTATAAACTAATTACAAACTAAAATTTGTTACTGAAATGTAGTATCTTTACTGTAGTTTCCTAATTATGATAATATCTTAGTGGATTTTTGGAAGTTCGCAATTAGGATTAAGATGCAAACAGCACATACCTCACACCCTACTTCCTGGAGGGGGGATAGATGTATTGTTTTAGCTGAAGGTGATTTCACCTATTAGAGAATAAACAGAACTAAAGCCAGATTGACAATATAATTTAATTTTTAAGGTAAACTAGTAGCAAAGTCACCTAAATTGAAATAGACTATGCAACTCCCAAAGTACAAGTATAGCGATTCATTGCTATTGTAAAATGAAATCTGTACAGAAGAGATTCAGTAGAATGTTAGATTAGAATATGATAGGGAAATAAATGAAATGGGCTTAAGAAAAGTAGCTAAGGTAAAGAGAAGTGAGAAATCAGTGTAAAATGAAAGTTTAGTTTCACAGATGGTAGGCTATATTTAAAGTCCACTGTAAGGAAAAAAATTTGCAAGAGAGGAGGTTTAAGTAAATAGAGATAGAAGGATAATGGATGGAAAGTTAATGTGAATTGGAGGGTTTGAAAATCTAGGGTTTGGAGTTTTGGAAAGAAATTTGAGAAGGTTTTTGATTCCTCTGAGATAAGACGGATTTGTGCAACTTTTTAGGGGAGTGCCTATAGCAATTTCAGACAGACAATATTCTATCAAGTTATAACATTTACCAAATGGAAACAATAGAAATAAATTTGTGGCATGAAATTATTTGACTATGTATACTAAAAATCTGTACTTGAAGGACCATTAGAAGGGCATGTCCCAATCCTCAGAGTCTCATGGACTCCAAAATGAGGGGAATGGAAATATGAGACTCACTATGAATCTTTGAAAGCGAGCTAACTGAAAGCAGTGGGCTTTAAAATTTGAGGTGCTGGCAGCTAATGGCCCTTGGGAAAACTGAGATTTTGAATATTGCCATTTGTAATTATAAACCCAGATCTGATTTGGCTGAAATTTGTCCTGAAACCAAATTATAATGTGGTCTCATTTACAGTGAGATGTGTTTTCCTATTAGGATAATTGTGATAAATCAGAACTTAATGCAAGATATATTTGATATTTGACATTAAAGCAATATGCTTGGAAACTGCATGGATCAGGAAAACCTGAGTTCAGATCTGGTCTCAGAAGTTAACTGTGTAACTTTAAAAAGCAAGTTACTTTGCCTATTTGCCTCAGTTCCCTCATCTATAAAATAATAATAGCACCTACATTCTAAGGTGGTTGTGAGGATCCAGTGAAATAAATTGTTGAGTGCTTAGCACTTAACTTAGCCTAATACATGATAAGCGCTTTATAAATGTTAGCTATTATTAAGTGAAATTACTCTATACTGATTTTTAAAATATGATTGGTATAGAAAGCCAAATTGATAGGTGGTGATTTTCTATATGAGAGGATTTAGAAATGCATTCAAATGAATTGATATGATTTGATTGATAAAGAGTTTTGGGTTATGTTTTAAAAATTCATAATATTGTTTAATGTTATTGTTAGGCTTCTAATTTTTCTTGGATTGTAAATTTTGGCAAAACCATTGTGTGAGAATTGCTATTAATTTGAAAAATGATACCCAGAGAGTGTTGCAATTGTTTCATTAGAAAAGTGACTTCTTTTTTAATCTGGAGCTGTTAGTTATGAATTGAGCTGTTAAAGAATGTGGTCACAATGTTTGAAAACTTAAGTATTTAATTGGGTATATTTTGCTTTAAAATGGAAAATAATAGCTTACTACTTTTTTTTGGGGGGGGAAAGTAGCAAAGACCTCATAAGTTGCCCTTATCTGTGAAGTTGTTGGGACTTTCTATTTGGGCAGGGTCATAAAATCTTATCAGCCCTGCTGACAGCATATTGTAAAGTTCTAACTTTGGAATATGAGAAACTAGGACCACTGCCAACCAAAGTGGGAAGACTTACAAGTTTGCTCACAGTAAAAAGTGAGTTTCATCTGATATTGTTTGGCCATTGGTTATGAAAATTATGAAATTGTACCTGTTAATATGTATTGAAGTTACAGCTTTGAGCCAACTTAGTAACAACAGATCTCACATTCAAAGATTTTATTTCTGCCTTAGGGGTATTAATAGGCAATATGGATATCTGTTAGTCTGGAGGCTTATAGTAGCCATCATTTTTCAGTCTTTTTAAGATTCTTCCTTCAGTCTGTTGATGACATTGTCCATATCAGTTCCAGGTACAGGGTTCAAGTAAAAATAGAAAGAACAAGTGGTGTGTAAAAACTGAAATTCTTTTGACCCAGCAATGCCACTACTAGGTCTGTAACCCAAAGAGATCATAAAAAAGGGAAAAGGACCACATGTACAAAAATATTTATAGCAGCTCTTTTTGTGGTGGCAAAGAATGGGAAATTATGGGGAATGGATGAACAAGTTGTGGCATATGAATGTAATGGAATATTATTGTTCTATAAGAAATGATGAGCAGGCAGACTTTAGAAAAACCTGGAGACTCACATGAACTGATGCTAAGTGAAGTGAGCAGAACCAGAAGAACATTGTACACAGCAGCAGCAACACTGAATGATTAACAATGACAGACTTAGCTCTTCTCAGCAATACAATGATCCAAGACAAGTCCAAAAGACTCGTGATGGAAAATGCTAACCACATCCAGAGAAAGAACTATGGAGTTTGAATGCAGATCGAAGCATACTATTTTCACTTTTTTTTGTTTTTTGTTTTTTTTCTCTCTCATGGTTTTTCCCTTTTGTTCTGATTCTTCCTTTATAACATCATTAATGTGGAAATATATTTAACATGATTGTACATGTATAACCTATATCAGATTGCTTGTTGTCTTGGGGAGGGTAGAGGGAAAGGAAGGAAGGGAGAAAAATTTGGAACTCAAAATTTTACAAAAATGAATGTTGAAAACTATCTTCACAGGTAATTGGAAAAAATAAAATACTGTTAAGGAAAAAAAACCTAAATTCTCTAAACTTTCAGGTGAATTAAGGGCTTCTAATTTGGCAGCTAGGTGGCACATGGATAGAGCCCTGAGCCTGGAGTCAGGAAGACTGCAGTTCAAATCCAGCCTCAGACACTTAATAACTCTGTGACTGCAAGCAAGTCACTTAACCTCTGTTGGCCTTGATCCACTGGAGAAGTAAATGGCAAACCATTCCATTATCTTTGCCAAGGAAACCCTATAATGGAGTTATGAAGAGCCAGACGTGACTAAACAAGTGAACAGCAACAATCTGATGTTCTTAGAGCTCTATTGCTAATAGGATTAGCCCCATAAGGGTTGAGCTGGTTTTTACTACATGAAATAATTCCCCAATAACTATTTCCAAAATTTCCAAATTTAGGATGTTGTACAAAATTGTATTTAGTGTCATTCCTGGAAGATTTTAGCAGAATTACCCAGGGTAATTCCCTACTTCCAGGAACCAGACAAATGCACGGGACCTCTGTGACTCAAGATGAAATGTGCTGATTAAATGGACACTGGGAGCAGGCTACAAGGAGACCTGATGCTATTTAATATATATGATCATTATTTTATTACTTGGCTTTTTTGTTTCATGATTTTTATGTTTGCCTGGAAGAGGGTATGCCTTAATTCCTTTTTATTTATTGTTTAGGGATCAGGGCCATTGCTTTGGCAATTTTTTGGTTAATTGAAAGTCTTCTGTTTATAGTAACCTCACAACTTAACAAAATCTGACTTATGGAATAATAATGTTAACTGTTTGATGTTCTTCAGGTAGAAGCAAAGGGAAATTTGAAGCTTCTTAGCTAACTGTATAAGAGAAAATTTCCCTGACACTGAGTTTTCTTGGTTACCTTGATGATATTATGTAAATCTCCCCTCTTAAATCAGTCCATTTTGAACCCTTTAAAGTAGTTTAATCTGTAACCTGACTTAGTTTACCTATAGAGTCTATTTAACAAGGTTTAACTTTACTTAATTATGTTCATCTATTATGATATTGAAGGAAACATGGGATTATGGTTTTTGTGATACTCATGGCCACATTACACTTTGTTTTCTGAGTTTTAGTCCCTTGACTTACAACTCCTGAAACTCAACTCACATTGATCCCCCAGTGAGACACTGGGAAAACTTTGTCACCAAGATGGCCCCTACCCCTCCTTAAATGAAT